ATGTGTTCTGTAGAACCAACAAGCTTTGAAGAGGCTGAAAGTTATTCAGAATGGAGAAAAACGATGGAAGAAGAAATCAACATGATTGAGAAGAATAACACTTGGGAGTTGATGGAAAGACCCGAAAAGAAGAAAGCCATCACAGTGAGGTAGATCTACAAACTCAAGACTGCAACAGATGGATCCATACAAAGGCATAAGGCGATGCTGGTTACAAGAGTGTTCAGTCAGAAGTTTGGTGAAGATTACACAGAGACGTTTGCACCTGTATCAAGGTACGACACCATTAGACTCATACTTGCGATTGCAGCACAAAAGAGGTGGACACTACTCATTGAACTCAAGATCTAACCTTGTATTAGACGTTGAGTTGAGATTCTTCTAATTGTGATTTAATCAATAGGCTCAAGACCCATCCCTATTGTCATTTTGTGCAATGTGTCACATGGATGTGAAGTCCGCATTTCTGAATGGTGAACTTGAGGGAGAATTATTTGTAGAGCAACCTCAAGGATTTGAAGTAGAAGGTAAAGAAGATCACATATTGAAGCTAAGAAAAGCTTTGTACGGTTTGAAGTAAGCCCCAAGAGCGTGGTATAGAAAAATCGATGGATACTTTCTCAAACAAGGCTTTGAGAGATGTCCATACGAGGCGGCAGTATACATCAAAAGGCTTGGAGAAGATATATTGATCATCTCACTATATGTGGATGACAAGATTCAAGGAAGAAATGATGCATCACTTTGAGATGACAGATCTTGGCAAGATGAAGTATTTCTTGGGCATGGAAATAAAGCAAAGTTCAGATGGAGTTTTCTTATCTCAAGGAAAGCTATTCGAAGAATTTATTGGAGAAGTTCAAGATGAGTGACTGTAAACTAGTCAGCACACCACTTGAGTCTAACGGTAAGAACATTGACATGGAGGAGGAGAAAAAAGCACATGCAAAAAAATATCGAAAAATGGTGGGAAGTCTGTTGTACTTAACGGCTACAAGACCGGATCTGATGTACGTTGCGAGTTATCTTTCAAGATTCATGAGCAAACCGGAGATGCTACATTTCAAGCAAGCGAAGAGGGTATTGAGGTATGTCAAGAGAACCATTGATCTTGGCTTGCACTTCAAACCCCAGAACATTGTACTGTTGCAGGGATACTGTGATAGTGATTGGGTCGGAAGTCGAGATGACATGAAAAGCACAAGTGGTTATGTGTTCAAGATAGGAGGAGCAATATTCTCATGGCAGATACAAAAGCAAGAGGTGATCGCACAATCAACGGCGGAAGCAGTGTACATCTCAGCAGCAACTTTGGTGAACCAAACCATATGGCTACGGAATCTATTTGATAGTTTGGTATGTCAAGGGTACCATTGATCTTGGCTTACATTTCAAACCCGAGAACACTGTACTGTTGTAGGGATACTGTGATAGTGATTGGGTCGGAAGTCAAGATGACATGAAAAACACAAGTGGTTATGTGTTCAAGATAGGAGGAGCAATATTCTAAGGCAGACACAAAAGCAAGAGGTGATCGCACAATCAACGGCGGAAGCAGCGTACATCTCAGCAGCAACTGCGGTGAACCAAACCATATGGCTACGAAATCTACTTGATAGTTTGGGATGCAAGCAAGAAGGGAGCACACCGATCTTCTGTGACAATAGCTCAGCTATTGCCATTGGAAGAGACTCGGTTCAACATCGGAAAACGAAGCATATCAACATCAAGTATCATGTGGTTAGAGAAGTGGAGCACAATGGAGTCATCAAACTCACATACGTCAAAGGAGAAGAGCAGCTGGGAAATCTTCACAAAGGCACTAGGAGCTTCAAGATTTGAGGATTTAAGAAAAAACTTGGGATGATGCGCAAATGAATCAAGGACGAGTATTGAGAAGATGATTCCTTCGCTTACGTCATGTTTATGTAATGCTTATATAAACAATTACATCATGATAATGTAATGTTTATGTAAGGAGTTGTAGAAATTTGAATTTGTGTGTGTTAGGTGTGATTGAAAAAAATAAGGATATGGTAGGTGTGATTGATTGATGATGTGTTATGAAGATATGTGGTTGTGATGAGAGTAATAGGTTTGGAGTTTTAGTATAAACAGGGATATTGTATGGAGTTTTTCATATCAAGCATTCCCAAACATTTTTCTCCAAATACTTCTCTCTTTTCTCTTTTTGATATTTCTTTATAAAGTTCTAAGTACAAGTGTTATAAATCTTCAATATTTTCTCATTTTTCTTTCTTTACACTATGCACTAAAAAAGAGAAGATAAGAAGCTTGTTCATTTGTTTCATTATAGTTCAAGTCATTACATTTTATTTTTACAAATTAAGATTTAATCATTTTTATTCTAAAAATTTAAAAATAAAGTTATAGTAATATTGGTTCAACAATCATGTAAAAACTATCTACTTCTAATTTAAATGAATCTGAGTTATGATCACATTTAGTTGAACCTTTCCATTTAATTCAACCTATATTTTATTAAATTTATTTTTTAATTTTTTGATCACCACAATTTATTTTAGCTGATCTTTTACAACTCATCTAAACTCTTCAATTATGGATACAAGAATTAAGAATTGACTTAGTTTGTCATAACGCTCATATATCTATTTTCGTCTCCGATTATAAGCCGTTGGATTTCAATCGAACAATGAGCTGATGAGAAACGAAACGAAAGGTCGTACAGAGGTCTTTTATTTTTCATACAGAGACACGTAGGTTGTCGTGTTTGTTTAGTTCCGGTCAACGGTCGATTTTAATCATGGGTTCATTATTTAATAATAATAATAATAATAATAATAATAATAAAAATCGAAAATTCTATAAAAATTCCCTAATTTTTTAAAATCTGCCATACAAAATCTTTAATTAAAAATTTAACAAATAAAATCTTTCCCTTTTTACTCTTTCCATATACCTTTTCTGTCAAATCCAGTGCTCCACTTATGATCGTTGTCTCATCATGTGTAAGTTCACCTCCCTTACCAGCCTAAAATGACAGTTGTTTTACGACAAGTTAGCAAAATTAGTATCTCTTAGATGCAGTAAAAGAAGTAAATAGCATGTTCTTCAAGGTTTCTCTTACCTCTTGCCCCGGCGTAAACCCCGCCATGAGTCCGGCAAACGCCACGAGACCTATGCTTATCAGAACGTAGAGCCAGAACGCGGTCTCACAGCACGGGACGTACGACGCCATATCGTCCGTCTCTCGCTTCCTTTCCCTCGCCGCCGCCGATGAACTCGTTTCCTTTTTCCCTCGGCGTTTTCTGGTTGGGAGTGATTTTCCGAGATCTTTCCCTTTACCTCATGACAAAATTATAAGGCCACGCCAGATTAATTAACGGAAGATTAAAACCATTTAATCGTAGGTATTAATTTAGAAGCAATTTATAAATTGGGAATTTTATTTGTTAAATTTTTAATTGAGAATTTTATATGACAGATTTTAAAGAATTGGAAAATTTTTATGGAATTTTCTCTATACACAACCATTTTTCATGGTGAAAAATCTCATTTTTTAAAATGGTAATTTCTTTTTAAATAGATTTGATTTGATGTGAAATGAATTATTTTGAGATTAGCGTTTGAATTCCTAATAATAATAACAGATGAAAATCAGTTTGCAAACATGTATATGTTTTTATATATATGTTTTCAAAATCATGTGTAAATATTGAAATAATCACAATATTTTGTGTATTTTTGCAAAACTCTTTATCAATCCATGTTTGAGACTCATTTGGGGAAAGATATTAACATGTACTTTTTTTATTTTTTTAGAAAATATAATTAGATTAAAGCTACACTAAACTTTCGAATTATAAAAAAAAGTAATGATATATTTTATATTTTTACGTGAAATTACGGTGAGGTCAAATTCTTCGAGATTATGGAGCTTTTGATTGGAGGGGTGGAGGAAGACTGCACATCCAAGGGCAAGATGTCCAATATTTTCATTTTGTATTGTTTTTGTAAATTCCGTTAACTTACAAATTTTTACTTTTGTTTTTAGAATTATATTTATTTATATTAAAAGATAAATTACTTATTAAAATAATAATTTGCATTGAAAAACCATCAAATGTTTAATAAGATTCATTTGAAAAAACAATTATCTATAAATCCAAACAAACTCGATTGTAAAAACTATCTAAAATATCCTCAAATGATCTCAGTAATTTATTATGTTCATACCTTGTATATCTTACTAATTATTTGATTAAAATATTATAAATTTAACTATGAACAATGAGATCAATATGTAACCACACTATATGTCGGAATAGGAAAAATGTATGTGTTGAATTAAAAATAGAAAAATAAGAGTATTTTTTATAATGTCCCTTTACAAATATTTAAAACATTAATCATCAACCAATCCAAATAAAGCATAAACGTTTTATAAAAATATTTTTATAATGATTATTAATTTATCTATTTGTACTCAATCTGAATATATTTGTAATACTAATAATTAATTTGGATTTGAAGACGATTGAAACTTTATATTAAATTATATGCTTTTTTTTTAAAAGAGGTCTATTTGGATTTTTTTTTTAAAGTTTAGATTTGAAATTGATAAAAGTTTCAACAGTTTTGAGATTAAAAAATTTTATAATTTGATTCAGTTCCATTTTGCTTTAACCAAATCAAAATGACTACCTTTTATGTGAAGAGAAGGCAAAGTCAAAATTCTGAATCTAAAACCACAAATACAAATCCTTGTTTATAAAGATGACAAAAAGCACTAAACCCAATATATTCTTAAAATGTTATGAAAATTCTAAACCCGAATCATAAACATTTAAATCCTGATATATTCTTAAAAGTAATTTCTAAAAGTATAACAATACTTTTATTCCACAAAACAGCTAAGATAAAATGTGGAAATAAATAGCTAAGATATAATAGAAATATATCTTAAATTAATATACACCAAGAGTTAATTATACGCAGATAGTTTCTGCATATATATATATATATACACGGCCAAACATCTTTATTTAAATTCCCCAGAATATGGAAATGTAAAATTCGGATTCTTATACAATTTCAAGCTTTCACCGACCAAGAAAATTTGTATGCTTTTGCTAAGTTTGCTCCAACAAGATCCTTCATTTTGATTTCTTTTGAATTCTATAACTATCTATCTGAAATGAATATATATATATATAAACATGGGTAAGCATCATAGAGGAAGAAGAGAAATCTAACCCAGATATCATGAACTCGTCGAGAGATCTTCCCCGGACCGTTTAAGATCCGAGAACGTTGGGTTCACTGAAGCAGAAGGTTTTGTGGTAGGACTCGAATCTGTTGTCGTGGGTGCGAGTGATGCTCCGTTGGGGCTCGAGGACCCTGAACAACTGTTAGATGATGATGATTGCGTGATCGAGTTTAAGCTTGGGAGTTTCTCCTGAGAAGCATTCATGTTCACTCTTATCCTGCATTTCCCGACACGGGAGAATAAGTTGCTCGCTCGTTCCGACCGGAACTTGGATTGAAAAATCATAGTGGGTAAAAACCACCTTTACCTATTGTGGATGTTCACATACTCGTCGGTTTCGTCTAGAATCTCTTCCTGCATTTAGAAGCAACACATCCGAGTTTTCATGGTTTAGTTTGAAAACCGAGGGAGAAATTGTATCGTAGTGCGGAATAGTTTTGAGTACCTGAAGAAGTTCCTCAATGACGTCTTCCATGGTGATGACCCCTACTACCTCTTCGTTGGGTGGGAATTCAGGCAATGGAAAATTCTCAATGTCCAAAATGCAGAAGGAACAGTCTCTATGCCGCTTCTTAGCTGAAGCAGCTGATTGAGTCATCTTCTGCTGCTGCTCGGTTCTGTTTTCGCTTGTGTGGACCTTAACATCTCCAGTTTCAGTTCCAACTTCTGTATGCCCGAAAGACGTTTATATAAACAGGTAATCAGAAATTGGTCAAACTCGGAACAACTGAGACCGAGTTGATGCAACTCAAACTCGTACCTTTCTCTGCAGAGACCTCAACTTGAATTTTCGGTTTCCTACAATTGTCCTTAAACTTTCCCTCTTTACGTTTCTTGTTCTTTTTGTGTTTGACAAGATTCCCGCTTGTTTCAGGAGATTCATTTGGCTCATTGAGATCTCTATACACAACAGCAATGTGGCTCTGACCCTTCTGGAACTCATTTAGGATATCATACAGTGGCATCGTCTCAGAGACACTGCAAAAGAATGAGAAAAATAAAGTAGAAGTAGATATACCTATCCGCAAATTATGTTAAACCAAACCGAGCACGTAAACCATTTTATTGACTGAGAAATCGTTCGAAATTAGAGAAAGGGGAGAGAGCTCATTTACCGGGGAATTTTTCTGATGGTCATCTTTCTAAGAGGAACTTCTTTTCTTGGATCAACTGACAAGAGGCTTTTTACCTGCACCAGCGAAAAGGGAAAAATATTAAATGCCGTAGAGAACATAATACATTATAAAAACGGAAACCCCTAAATCATCACATAACACTACTGTTGCAAAACATTAGAGATAAACTATATATTAGCTTGAATTTATAACTAAACATTAGAAAAAGGGATTCATCTCGGAGTAGTTTAGACAAAACATCACCCACAAGACAGAAGAGATATTATACACCTCAACTACTGAAAATACCAGAGAGCCACGAAAGTGACATACCAGAATGAGCCCAATTATATGTGTTGGAGTTCCAAAATAAACAGGAACTCTGCTATGGCCCATGGCCATTATTGTATTCAATGTTTCCCTGCATCACAAAGGACAGAAGATTACAGGTCCAGAAATTTTCAAAGCAGTTATCAAGAACAGTTGATAGAAGACAAAAGGATAAACAAAAAAACCCACAAATTAAGAATTGTATCCAGATCAAGGGAAAATGCCTTCGATATGGGAGTCATGGCATCTTTCGCAGTCTTTTCAGTCAATTCGAGTGCGCCTGTGATGATAGTGGTCTCATCATGTGTTAAATCTCCACCTTTCCCAGCCTAATTGAAAAGCATTTGCGCATAAGAGTCTATCAGGAAACTTGGCTGAAACAAACAGCACGAATCAAGCACGAGGCTACTGGCAACCTCATCCAGAAGCTATTCACTTCCGAGCAGGGCAGACCTTCAAAGTATCTAATGTAAGTTAATAGCATGACCTGCACTGGCCAGCAATCCTAAGCAAACTCCTTACCTCATTGCCATGGAAATCCACGAACGTCTTTAGCTCTGCTCTCCGTAACAGAACAGCATGTCCCTTACCCAGCATCCAATCGAGGACCTGTACACAGCATTGTTTACTTTACCAGCATTAAGAAACAGTACAACTAAATAGAAAACATGGATGACAAATTGGTTCACCAAAACAAGTCAAGGAAGCAGTCTGATCAAAAGAAGAAGGAAAACAATCCTAGCGCCATATTGCTGATTTGGAGGAAACAAAGATAGCAATGCAACCTCTCTACCTTGCTAATTGGATAAGAGATGGGAAAGAACAGCAGAAGAAGAACGCGGACAACCGGTGCCATTATTGCTCCAACCTTGAGACCGTAACGAGTGCAAACTGCCTGCGGAAGTATCTGCCGATGGAAAAGCACGACTATGACCAACACTTATCATGCTAAGGCATTTGGAGAATTTTGAATTAGTTCAAAGACAGAGAAACCTCTCCAAACATGAGTATGAGAGTCACTGATATGACGATGGCGGCCAACGGAGGCACGATCTTATTCAAGAATATCGGAAGAGCCTGTCATGTCATTGCAAACAAAATGTATGGAATCTTAGCATGGAATATAGAAAGGCAAAAAACAAAGCGACACCACCGAAAAGGTGTATTACCTCCATGGCCATGGAGTTTCCAATCAAAAGAGTACAGAGCAAAAGATGCTGATTCTTTACAACTGGGAAAATTTTTCCTGAAATTAACAAAACACAACGTGCTTCAGAAACAAAGGAAAGTGTTAAGAAGAAAAGTCCAAAGGAGTAGCAAACACATCAACCAAAAAACATAGAGACAAACAGAGAAAATACGTTATATAGACAAAACATCGAACCCAAAAACCGTACTAAGCTAAGGAACAAGATGTGACAAAGGCTTCATTCCTCCAGAAAGATGGCACAGAGTTACACATCCGCAAAACCTCACAGGACAAAACCGCAATTGAACATTTGGATCGCGTATAAGCACCAAGAATTCATCAATAAATCGACAAACAAAGCTACTAAGCTTAGATTCACCGTTCTAATGTCACCAGAATCCTCGTTTATCGATTTCAGATCCAGAGCAATAATTTCCCAGGAAATAGAAAGCGGAAAAAAAATATCACCGGCATTAATTCGATCCTGAGGACGTCCAGATTTGATGAGAACTTCGAGGTCGACGAGTCCGAGAGACATGAGACCCAGCGTTAAACCCGCCATGAGTCCGGCAAACGCCACGAGACCTATGCTTATCAGAACGTAGAGCCAGAACGCGGTCTCACAGCACGGGACGTACGACGCCATATCGTCCGTCTCTCGCTTCCTTTCCCTCGCCGCCGCCGATGAACTGGTTTCCTTTTTCCCTCGGCGTTTTCTGGTTGGGAGTGATTTTCCGAGAAAGTTTGATATATTTATATATCCAGAATTGGGTCAGAAAAGTGATCCGTAAAGACTCATATGAAGTGAGTATCCTATTCAGACGCAACAAACAATTTTTTATTTTTTTTTGGAGTTGGGAGCTGACGTGGACCCCACTTTACTTTGAAAGACGTTATGCCTTCCAATTTTAGTATCACTCGTTCATTGTATCACACGATCAAAATACTTAATTCGGTCCAAAAGAATAATAGTGTCCGTGTGCGGTATTCGGTTCAGATTCGATTTGGTAATAGTTAGGTTTGAGTTTTTTTAGTTTTTATAAAAATTTGTAATAATTGGTTAATATTTTTATATTCATTTTGGTTGGGTGTTGTTTCGTTTCGATTCCGTTTTTTATTAAAAAATTAGATATTTTTTAAAAAATTGGTTTTCAGAGTATTTTATATTTTGGTTAAATTCGATTTCGAAAAATTCATTTAAAAAAAAATCATTCGAGAATTTTAAATCGATTCGAATAAAATATTGTATTTTTCGATTCAATACAATTCAATTATGAAAAAGCGTAACGAAATGTCTACCCCTAATATCACTAAGCCAACACAATAGCCTACGAATACTATATGTTAATAATCTAGATATATAAGGACACGAATATGAGATGATGTAATAGTACAGTGATATAAAAAAATAGAAAATAATATATAAATACCTAAATTTTTATAAAAATCTCATATAAACATCTAAATTATAAAATTTTCATATAAATACCCGAACTTTTAAAAATACTATATAAATATCTAGATTTTTGAAAATTTTTCTAAATAAATACAAATTTCAGATATTTTTCAAATAAAAATATATTATGTCATTAATGGATTTTGAGTTTATTTGGAAGTTTTTCAGAATTCTAGGTATTTATATAGGATTTTAGAAAAGTTCAGATGTTTATATTAAAATTTTATAGTTTAGGTATTTATTTGAGATTTTTGTAAAAGGTTAGGTATTTATATGTAATTTTCTAAAAAAAAATTTCTATATTATATGTTTTAATAATTTATCATATAGATAGTCATTTATTGACCTCTTTTGGCTAGTTGTCCGTAGGTTTAGAATTACTTAATTTTCTGTTATATAATTAAGTTTAAAATTAGTTCATAAATTATTATTTGTTTAGACATTAGTTTTCAGTTATACTATAATCTAATTAGATTTATAATTGGATATTACACATAAAATGATTCTAAAATTAGGTTTATCTTCAATGATTTTACGACCATATACCCCAAATAGAAATAAGTTATGAATACTATTAAATTTTAATAAACATATTTATGCATTTAATTAATAAAAAATACTAAAATTTTTATATTCCGAAACTTGCATAATAATTTTAATTCTATACAATGCAATAACTAAGAAATTCAAGATTCAGGAAAAAGAGGATGTCCGAACGAATGTGTAAACAAACACTAATTTATTATCAAAATTTAATAACAGCAAATAAGAAATATTAATATTATACTTCCTAATTATTTTATTAATATATTAAAAATCTAATTCTTGTTATATTTCAAAATCGATTAAACAGAAAAACAAAAAACTAAAACCAAAATACCGATTGTATCTTAAAAATCGTTTTGCACAAAATGGTTATAAGATAAAATATTAATATTTAACATTTTCTAATATGTTAAATCAAATTACCTTTAAAAGACAAAAGAATATAAATATCATTTATAAACAATATTAAAATTTTCAACCGTCATCTCCCACTCACCCGTGAAAGACAATGACTTTACCAGTTCCGAGTTCATACTAGCAAATGGGTCGTGTGACCACCGAATACACCTGCATGCGGGAGCTCCAAACTAGAAACCCACACAGGGCCAGAATGGAGATTCAACCTCGGGGAAAAATAAATAAATAAATACACGATGTATTCTATACCCTAGGTTCACTTTGTCACATCGAGTCCAATATCTCTTGACCCCTCAATAAAATAAATAAAGACGATACTTAACTCCCACTACTCCATATGTATTCCCAGTTATGATAAGTACACAACAAATTATAACTGGCCGGCCGGTGAACACATATGAGTGATATGACAATACTTTACCTTCCTTTCACCCTACTACTACTTAGTTTCGAGTCGACTGCTTTCCTAGACATGCCCCAGTAGATCGAATCACTCGTGACCATAGGAAGCACACTAAAGTAGCAAACATCAACTCTACGCTTCGTAGCATAGTCAAAGTCATAAGGGTATACTCGTAAATCAATATACGATATCAAGTACTCACACAGTGATGAAGCAGGGATCCATTCACTCACTTACTTGATTGGTCATATCTCTAGCACATACAGTATGAAATGTATGCTATGGTGGAGATTCTCCCTTACAGAGTGTATGTCACTCAACACCATACAGGTCATAGTCTAGTTGCTACTCAAGCGACTAACCCGAACTCACAATATGCTTGCTCCCTACAGCATCATATAGGGTTCGCACCTGACTTCTACATAGGTTTCATGGATGGTGGAATAACATCCACTACAAGAAAAACTGAAATTTGCGACACCTGTTGCGACCGAACTTTTAGTCGCAATAAATTTGCGACAGACCACGACTAAAAAGCGACACAATCTCGGAAAAATATCTCTGTCGGACTTGGACGCAAAATCTGTCGCAAATTTCCGACCGTTTGCGACCGTTATATCTTTCGCACGTAGTTGCGACAGAAATACGACGGAAAACGACAGATAATTTACGACAGATGGTCTGTCGGTATGTACCGACACAGTATGCGACAGATATGTTCGGTCGGGCTACGTGTACGACACATTTGCGACAGATGTTATGCGTCGCGGACATAATGCGACCGATATGCGACACACTGTAGGAGTCGCTCAATATGTGCGACTGACTTGCGACTCACCGTTGTGTCGCAAAATTAGGTACACACGTGAATGGTATGTCACCTAACTTTTGTCGCAATTCTGTCGCATTTCGGTCGCAATTCATTTTACGACAGAAAATATCGGTCGCAATTCCGTCGCAACGTCCCTCCATATATCGCCTGCGCGATGAGCATGCATAGATAGGAAAAAAAAAGTGTTAACGAAAAAAAAAATATTTACAAAAAAATGTCTTTTTCATCCAGAATGTGGATGTATAATAGATTTGATTCTTCTAATCAAATCTCGAGTGAGTTTGCTGAAGGATTACAACATTTTATGGCGTTTGCAACAAGTCAAACGTCGTACATTGAGAGTTCGAAGTTACCATGTCCGTGCTCAAAATGCGAGAATAAAAGATGGCGAAGTCAGTATGAAGTGTGTAAGCACCTTTATAGAAGAGGTTTTATGTCAAACTATTATGTTTGGTTGGCTCATGGAGAAACGTATGATACGTCGTCATCATCACGTGTTTCACAAATGCAAAAACAACTTGTGGAAAACACGTCGCTACCTCCGATCTTTCAAGAAGATCAAGACCGAAATCTATATGCAGAGATGGTGAATGATGCATTTCCCAACGTTGCTCCTTCTCCATATATGGAAGAAGAGCCAAATGTTGAAGCGAAAAGATTTTATGATATGCTTAACACGGCGAACACTCCGATATAATGAGGAAATATCATTCTTTACCTCATATTATTTTGAAGATAATGTGCCAACAAAAAGCAGAAGTATAAGAAAATCATCCCATTGCGATGATGGTCCTACTTATCCGACGAATGCAAATATTCCCCATATATTTGACAGAAAAGGAAGATGTGGTGGTAAGGCCAGCGATGCCTACTTATCTGAAAAAGACTATCATGTGGTACATACTTTTGTATTGTTGAATTGCGAAGAAGTACTACCTTTTGAAAGGTTCGTTTATACATTTAATTATTTATGGCGTACAATTTTTT